CAAAATAACAGTAGCAGAGACCTGAGCCCCCAGCTATTTTTGGATGATAAACATTTGTCTCAGGTCAACTGGGCATAGTGAATATTTTAATACTACATTTATCCATTTTAAATACACTAACCTCACTCCTTTGTAACAACTAAGGCAAAAATGTAATTAATTCAGAAAATCTTTTCAGGACCCCACCTTGATGTTTCGGGACCCCACTTTGGGTCCCGACCCCAACTTTGGGAAACACTGCTGACTGCATCTATGTTTTCATGGGTTTATATCCCCCGATCGAAGAATTCTATTTTTCACGGATTTTGCATGAAAGAGTAGAAACCATACTTTCCTTACAAACTTTTTTTTTATCTCGAGTCATCAGAGAAGACGAGCCCAGTCTCACATATCGAACTGGGAGCGGCGACGTTTGACCCACTTGTGAGGAAACTTGTCACGTTTCCTCCCCATCATCATCATCATCATCATCATCATCATCATCATCATCATCATCATCATCACAGCTCTCCGGCTCACAAGTGTCCTCTGTGATTCAGAAAGTCAGTAGCAGAGGCGCGCGCACACCCACAGCACGAGGACCGCCTGGGGGACGACTCGTACATGAGTTTCACAACAACGAGGACGGATGTAAGTAGCTGAAACTCAGCGGCTTTTTTTTGTTTGTTTGTAGAACATTGCTGGCTCTTTCTCAGGTAAGACGCGAAGCGTTTTCTTTACAGTCTCTTTTAGCTAGCTTAGCGTGGTTCTGCGCGTGCTCGGTGGCTTGTTGACAACGCCTCAGGACGTGCTCTCTGGTAAAACCTCGCTTCCCTGTTGCCTTGTTAATGTGATGGTTACGAACAAGATGCTGCAAACTGGTTGTAAACGTGCCCTGCTTAGTGTTAGAACAAAACAAACACACAGTATCTGTACATCAAGTAACTGCGACGACTCGTATTCAGCTCACGTGTTAACACTCATCCGCCTAAGTGAAGTTTTTTTTCTTAAATTTTTTTTTCTTCTTTCCAGTCCGAAGTTTAATAGTCTGTCAACGTAATTAAATTACTCTGGTATTTAGAATAACATCACATGCTTGGTGGTTCTTCGGGGTGTGGATAGTTCCCTCAGAAAACTGTTCCAGTCAGATTTGTTAAACATAAACCAATAATTAATTGGGCGCACGTGCGCACACGCCTCTAGTGCAATGTTTCCCAAAGTTGGGGTCGGGACCCAAAGTGGGGTCCCGAAACATCAAGGTGGGGTCCTGAAAAGATTTTCTGAATTAATTACATTATTGCCTTAGTTGTTACAAAGGAGTGAGGTTAGTGTATTTAAAATGGATAAATGTAGTATAAAAGTATTGTTACTATGCCCATTTTTAGTTGACCTGATACAAATGTTTATCATACAAAAATATCTGGGGGCACAGGTCTCTGCTACTGTTATTTTGTGGGTCAAAAGTGAAAAGTTTGGGAACCACTGCACTTTGGTTCCCAAAGTTGGGCTTGGGACCCAATTATGGGTCAAGAAGCACCTTGGATAATCTCCAGAAATCAATTTAAAGGGTAATAAAATAATTGCTGATGTAATATTTTCCCTATAACTATTACAAAAACACAAAAAGTGTAACTAAGTATTTATATTTGCTTATAAGCTGTTTAGATTGTCAAAAAGCCTGTGTTTTTAGGGTTATTAACAAAGTTCGTGTACTCAGACCAGTAATATTTGGGGTCACAAGTTTTTGACCTGGGTATTTTGTGGGTCAGAAGATAAAAAGTTTGGGAACCACTGATCTAGTGACTAATAAGCAAAAGGCAGGAGGGCAGAGTGGTTCTGTGGTATAACGCTCAGTGGTGGAGAAAGTACTCAAACACTGTACTTAAGTAAAAGTACAGATAAACAGACAAGAATGTACTCTAGTAAAAGTAAAAGTACCACATTAACATTTTACTTGAGTAAAAGTAAGTAAGTACTTGTTTTTAAAAATACTTAAAGTATTAAAAGTAAAAGTACTTGCTTAATGTATTCCCTAATGGTCTACAATATCATGAAGTGTGCCTACTGTATGTATATTTTAATACTTCAATGGTGCCATTTTAGTGAACAATGCTGCAGATAATGCACAGTTTTGTGTTTACACTCTGACACTGTTCACACTTGGACTTGTGATTCTGTGCATCATCACATATTGTGACAACAGCTGCAGAAGATGTAAATTCACCACCAACCTCCTCTATCAAATCTCAAGTCATTTTTTTGAACCAGTTAAATAAGGCCATGAATGGCACATTTCCTCCGTGGTGGAAACCATTGTGGGCATGCTGCTGCTGTTCTTTTTTATGAAGGAGGGTGTAATGGTACTTTCCTGCTTTGTTCAATGGACCAGTTACAGCAATTCCCCCTCTCACCACTGATTACTTTCTAACAAAAAAATCAAACAAACCACAAATAAAATAAAATAAAATAATAACTCGATGTGACATGAATGTACTTTGTAATTCAACGCATTACAGAAATGTAGTGGAGTAGAAAGTACAGATACTTAATGTAAAATGTAATGGAGTACAAGTCAAAAGTACCCATGATGAAATCTACTTAAGTAAAGTACAGATTCATGAAAAATGTACTTAAGTACAGCAAGAAAGTACTTGTACTTATTTACATCCCAGCACTGATAACGCTGCAGGGTGAAGTGTGAGCAGTATTGATGAGGTGGTGCCTGCTGGTGACTTATGCCTGGTTTGCAATAGGCATATAGAAGAGAACTGCATAAAGATCAATAAATGTTTGGCTGAAATGTTTGCATTTCTGCGTGTTGTCACATAGAAGCTTGAAGCATTTTATCAATCAAATGGATCTGTCTTCCTATTTAGCCAACTGCGCATATCTCTGTTTAGAAACTCATGCTGGAATGGAAATTATGTTTTAGTTGTTGTTGTTTTCTTTTTTGTTTTTGCTCCAAATCCAGAGCAGAAGAAAATGCACACTTAAGCATTTGTTCAATTATCGCAAGTCATATAGTCATATCTTATGGCAGGGCTATTCAACTGGCGGCCCGCGGGCCACATCTGGTCGGCGAGTGACCAAAGATTGGCCCGCCCATTGGCTCATTCATCTTTTAAGCCCAAACCTATAAGTTGTTTTAGTTGTAGGGTTGGGCGACATTGGCAAAAAAAATTAATCACGATTAATTGTGGTATTTAGCCAATAACGATTAATTTGACGATTAATTCCCTGGAGTCCCTGGACACCCTTATGTCCTAGTCACATGACCAATTAAGTGGGAAAGATTTGCTCTTCGTAAAAATATTTTCCAAATTGTGTCAAAATCACAGACTTCAGGCTATACATCAAATTTAAATTGTGTTGATGGATAAATAAATTACAGAACTTTTGCTTAAATGTTCGTCATATTTGAAGAGGAGAGGAGCACCGAGCGGACTCTGCCTGGTGGCATTAATCGTATTAATCGTCAAGTGCCAAAAAATAATCTATTAATGTTTTTCTGACGATTATTTGCACACGATACGATTATGCCCAACCCTATTTAGTTGGACATAGACATGTTTGGTATCAACAGAAATGTCAGAATTTTGTCTAGAAGCTGGTGAAAACAATTTTTATGAACATCCAAGATAGTTAAAACTACAAGCAGTTGAAGATAAAATTATGAAAGTGAAAATAAAATAGGTTTAAAATCTTGGCAAGTCAGAGATGTCAAAATAAAACTTATTCAACAGTAGGGCTGTGTATTGGCAAGAATTTAGCAATACGATACATATCATRACAGAGGGGTCACGATACGATATATCCCGATATATTGCGATACTGTGAGCAAGGTGATATATTGCGATGTTTTTGTCCAAAAATTCTATTAAATAAAAACCTCTTACTGAAAAAAAAAGAAAAGCTAATGTTTACTTACAATGCTAATGCTCTCTTACTCTCTGGAGCTCAAGAGGTAGAGTAGCCAAATGGCTGGTTCACTGCTGCCAACTAGTGGTCAGAGGCTGAACTACAACATAAAAATGAACGGCTGGCAAGAAGGTTGACATTTTGAACCTTAATTAAAAATTGATACAGGGCTTTAGAATATCGATACAATATCGGGAAATGAAATATCGCAATATTTCAGTGTATCAATATTTTCTTACACCCCTATTAAACAGGAGGTTTAATGTGTTATTTTTCTTTTTGATATTGTTTTATTAACACTACATTTATTATAGGGTTCTGTATGTTGTATTCATGGTTAAATGCAGCAAAATGAATTATTTCAAAGTGATAATTCAAATCAGTAACTTTTGTAAAAACAAACAAACAAAATGTGTATTAATCATCACAGGCAGACTGTCAGCTTGACAGCACCTGCAGCACAAAGCATGAGGAAAGAACTTAATTTTAATTTATACAGAGCAGGTTGGAAGATAACTATTTGATGTTATTTATTGTTTTATAACATCCTACAGGCTCCGAGATGTATGAGAAATTTGAAACTGAGTTTTTGAAAAAAAAAAACTGTAAAACTTGAAAAAATTTGTGAGATTGCTCCATACATCCGTATACCTGCAAAATGAGGGGAAATCCATGTAAATTACAGATAATCCGTACAACATGTATGACCTGATAGAAATGATACTGAATCCACATTTTTTGCAAAGATTTAGGCTTTTAAATGCCATGGCTTTAAACGTTTGATCAGCAGATGAACAGTCTGTTTCAGCTTAACACTTGTTTGCAATAAAATGTTTACTCAGATATTTTTGTCTCACTCCCATTTCTTCTTTTTGCATTTTGATTTTAGAAAACTTGTGCCATCTTATGAAAATTTTAAAGACATCTACGTTGAAGATGGAATTAAAAAACAAAAACAACTGGAAGCCTGTTAGGTGTATGTGTACATACTGTAATGCTAACAAATTTATCAAATATATAACTTATTAGTATTTAGAAGCTGGCATAAGTTTTCTAAAATGTTAGACAAGGACTGATGATCCAACAGTGCAAAATGTGATTCCTTGCCATTTTTCAGCTGGGATCAGGAGTATGTGCTGTGTGAGATTAAAAAAAAAACTGCTGGTCGTATTCTGCGTCTCACGGCAGGTTGAATTTATGGAAGATCTTGCCTTACAGGATGATGATTTTTTAAATATCTTCGCAAAAATACAGTATGAAATAAAGAGAACTAAGGAACTGATGGTATGACTAATTCATTGACATTTTTCTTCTCTGTAAATGGCCTTTTGTTCATAGATAAAATTATTCCGAAAGCATTAGGAAGGAAGCTAAAAAAGATGACTAATGAAAGAGATATTTTGGTGGAGAGAATGAGGAACATGAATGTACTATACTGAACAGGACACTGTGAACTCCAAAAGGACACATTTGCACAAGAAAAGTACTACTGTCTAGTCAAAGCACTACATTGTATTTACTTACATTTATTTTAAAAATATTATTTTCAGTCAAAACCCTTAAAACGGTACTAATGTAAGTTTTCCCTTTTTTGTTTTTTTATTTTTCCCATTTCAATGTTTTATGATGTAATGACACATTTATACCTAAAAGTGTCAGATTATAGTGGATTAATAAATATGAGCAATTCAATAGAAAACTAGAAGCGGAGAGCGCAAACCTCCGCCAATAAA